ACATATTGTAGTATATTTATTGGGACAATTAGTTGGGATATCCCGGACAAAGTGGATGTCCCAACCCCAAATTTGGTTTTCGGGACGGGACATCCGGTGGGGAAGATTTTGTCCCATCTGATGTCCCATTATCGAGTTGGGACATATTTGGGGATGCGGTGGAGATGCTCTAAGTCAGTACTACGTAGTATTACATTTGTGGTTGCCGATGCAGTGTACTGTAGGTATATCGCATCATGAATGATGGTTGGTAGCATGTACAGTACACTTTGCTAGCAAAGTGCTCTACTCTACTGTACGTTTTAATACGAAGTATTGGCCATGACAGATACGTACATACACCACGTACCTTAGTACTGTTCACTAATGTAAGTTTTATATTCCTCGACAACACGTAGCTAACTTGCTCACAACCAGGGAAGCATAAGCCAGTGTTGTGGAGGGGCAAACGTTTACATCTTGAATTAGTCGATACCCTGTACATAGCGTTCTCCAGCTTACTCTGACAACGAACTGGTGGCAGAAGATGAGTCGAGGTATCGAAGGGTCGTGGTGAGGTAGTCCAGCGTTGCTTTCGATGCCCAAGACTTGAGCTGGAACCATGACGTCTGCTCGAAGAACCCGCAGTGGCTGCCGTATTTCGTGATAGCCATAAGGCCAATGGGATTCTTGTCGAAAAGAGCCAAGTCAATCTGGCCATACGTGCACACGGGGTCGTCCTTGGCGTTGATGCACAGTACGGGCACGGCGATGTTCTCCACTGCCCGCAACGGGTCGTTGTGCTTCCAGTACGACGCCAGGTCTTCGTACCCGTGCATCTTGACGTACACATGCCGATCGAATTCGGCCACGGATCGAGATCTCATGGCGGCGGGGTAGTCGATGACGGGGGACAGGTGTTCTTTATGTTGCCGCAGAAAGCGCTATCGTTCCAAAATGTACATGTTTCGGGTTTAACAAAAGGACAAGTGAAATAGATAGAAGTCAAGCAGACGTACTTTGAGCGCAAATGTGAGCACAGCGTCGTATCCGGCATTCATGCCGCCTCCGCAAAACAGGTCTTCGGTATTGTGGCCTAGTGCGAGATCGAGATGATAGGCGATGCATGTATATAGTGGCTGCACGTCGGACAGAAACGTACTGGGAGACACCAGCACACCTGCTTTGAGCTTGGAGGCTTTACCAGTTTCACCTAAGTACGAGCAGACCAGACCCCCCCCGGCGGAAAACCCCACGCCTGCAAACGAATTCCCGTCAGGCGAGTGAAGTTCAGAATGGTATGGACTTACCAACGATCGGGGCGGTGGGGAACTTGCGCTCAATGTGATCGATAGCTTCCGTCACGTCCTTCACACATCCAAACGCTTGAAGGAGGGGGACGGCGGCCACGGTCGAGCCGCCGTGGCCGCGCTTGTTGAATACCACGGGGCGGAACCCAGCTTGAAGCGCGTCAGCGCAGAACGAGCGGTGCTCATCACTGGAGCCTGCCACGTTATGTAGTTAGCCTCGAGAATAACAAAGTAGGAAAATGAAGTACTACTACCATTTAAGCCATGGATCACCAACAGGATGGGGGCGTCCGTCGACAATTGCGAAGTTCCTTCGCACCAGTCCACGGCGACATGACCGCCGTCTTGAAGACCAACCAAATCTCGCGAGAACTTGATTTTGGCTTGTGGCAACGCAACCGTAAGGAGCGCTTGGACGTGGGCGCTCTTGGCCCACCACGGCGGATGGTACGTGGACTGAAGCGTAGCGCAGTTCTACAGGCGATGCATGATGCACGAATGGCTCCATCGAGAAAGAAGTAGCTCGAACGTACAGTGGAAACGAACTGGTTGAGCTTGGAACTGGCGTTGAAGACAAGGCGAACCTTGGTGGGCTGTTCGTTGATGGACCAGAACACCCAAGCAACGACGACGGCTGTAATTGCCACAGCCGCGTAGGCTTCCTTGGTCCAAGGGCCAACGAGCGACGTCAAGATCTCTGCAACCTGTTGATGCAATGTGGTTGCGCTGCTCATGCTTAGTTCGCAGGCAATAATGGCCTCGGATATAGTGTTGTCAAGGAGTTGACCAGGCGAATTGCCACCAAAGTGTGGTAGCCTCTAAATATAACGATTTATAGGTAATTGTGTACTTTGGTTTTGTAAAGGTTGAAAACGTGATTGGAGAATCGTACTTTGAATAAGAATCGAAATATGACTCGCAAAATTATATTCGTGCAAATAGTTTGCCACCTCTACAGTTATAACGGATCGCATTGCGGAAATGAATCCTGAAACGCGCTTTCATTGGTTGAAAGTTGCTTGTGACAATCCAATTGGCGATATCCAGTTTGACGTCACGTACCACAGCTTCCTGATCTCATCTTACAGAGCTACTATAATACTCCGGAGTAGTACCGAGGCTTGCAGGGTCCATGTTGACAGGTGACTGTGAGGTCACATTCGAGGGTGGGCCCAATCCTAGTAGGAAACAATATATGTACACTGGATATTTGTCTACCGGTATTTTAACGATAACCGCAAAAATGGTACGGTATGTACAGTATGTAGTTTTCCTCCCTAAAACTGTATGTTTTGGCGGCAAAGCACTGATACTGTAACGTTACTTGATTGGTTGAAAAAGGTTCATTGACGAGCCAATCGGCGACATCCATTGGGTCAACTTCATAATATTTAATAGACAGATTATTCTGACGGCATGTCCAAGGAAGAGTTTGTCGAGATGATGACATCGTTTGTCTTCGACGTGCAGCAGAGCGTTGGATTCGACACTGACGCTTCCCGTGATCTCTTGGCAAGGCTTTATGCGGCACTGGAACCCCTTCGCTCGCATTGCCAGACGTCGCAGGAGGCGGTGAATCAGTTGGAACGACAGATTGGCCGGCAGCTAGCCCTTCGCCATGCAGACCTGCGGACTCGGTTTCTCCACTTTGATCGACACGTCAGTGGGTACATGAGTTACGTGGACTTTCAGCACGCCCTCGATGTCCGTGTCTCCCCATCCCATGCCGCTCTCCTTTGACGGAACCAATTAGGTCCTCAACCTTGACGCCGACCCTGCTGTGCTCACCCGTCTGTTTCAAAAGTACGACCCGCAAGGACAAGGCCGCATCAACTACACCAACTTTCTGCATCTCACCCACGTTACAGACTCGGATCCACCGCGGTCAGAAGCACACGACGCCATGATGCTCTCCCATCCCCCTCCGTATCGTCCTCCATCCGACAACCAAGACTTGGAACACCTGGAGCACCGCCGCACAGACGACCTCGTGGCGCGCATCCGAGCTAAACTGTATCAGCGTGGCTTGTCCGTTCGCGAATTGTTCCTGTCCATGGACCAAGGCAGGTGTGATATGTATGTCCGTCATGTGTTGATCATTCGTTGTAGGTATTCGTACCTGACGCTACAAGAATTGCATCACGGGTTCACTTCGATCCTCGGCATTGACTTGCACATCAAGGAACTGATGCATTTGACACGGCATTTAACCCGGAAACGCACTGACCTGCTCTCCTTGTCCGACTTTGCCTATCTCCTGGAAGGCCTGTCCATGTTCCATCCTACTACAAGTGCAACATCAGTGGGGGGTAGCTCCTCGCCCATCTCAGTGATGAAGCCGCCTTGCCCATCCAAGAGCTTGGGGCTACCAGCGCCGTCCTGCTTGAACCCGTTATTTGAATCCCAACTGGCGTCGGTACTGCAAGACCAAGGCAAGAAATCTCGCCGCGCCTTGTTTGAGAGCATGGCTCCGCTGGGGTCGCTCTCCCCGTCGGCCTTCCACAGCCACTTGCGTCGATGGGGCGTGCATGTGCCCGACGACGCCGAGCTCGTGCGACTCGTGGGCTACTTCGACACGAACGGCAACGGCACCCTCGAATTCCACGAATTCATTCGGCTCTTGCAGCATCTGGAGAGGTCGTCGTAGCGTTGGATTGCTGTGATTTGATTGCTGTGATTTCCGAGCAAAAAAACTCGCCGCTGCGCTAGTGTGCTGGCAGGAACTAGGAATGGCGCTTCGCGCATGAAATGTCACTACCCTCGAAACAAATGATATGTATACACAACAACGTGCCCCACGAAGAGCCTGACACCTCGAAATCCCGGCGCTCTGGAACCTACAGTACATAAGTTAGGTCGGAGTGCAGTCTTCCTTTTCAGGGGTTTAGCGCATTGCCAGTGGTTTGCTATCGCTA